TTGCATTGTGCTACGTTTCCAGTTACGTATTATGTACACATAATTGAATTTTATTCACTTAATGTCCAAGTGTAATATTACTTTCGGGTTTTGCTTTGATATTTATGTCATAATGCAAGTTCCGCGCGTATTTTGGGAATGGTTATGGCTCCCATCATACAGCCATCAAGTGTTTTCAACAATTAATTCTGGAGAACTAGCCATTCGTGGTCCTTGACGTCGTGGTGGTCACCACAGATCCCTACTAATGAAGTACTTCCCAACTTTAAAGAAATCAGCATTAAAGAAACCTACGCACCAATGAAAGAGTTCATGAATGTGATCAACACCGGTATATTTCAAATCATCCTGCAAGATAAGTTCACTTTGGAAATGTCAACGGCTCACCAGGTGGAATTCAATTGAGACTACGCAGATTCAAGAGACATATTCGCCAATAAAACTGAACACTTTGATCTTTTTTAGTAGTTGGAGCATTTCTTTACATCTGTAGTTTACATTCAACATCGTTTCAATGTCCAATATTGGGGTGGTGTGATTTCGATGGACGTACTACCGGTATCACCTTGAAATGATGGAAATCCTGTACATTCTATTTTGTACTTACGGCAATGTTTCCTTATAATGTGAGAATGTCTTTTCTTCCAAAGAGTAATATCGGTTGTGTTTGCCAATATATTTACATCATGTGCAAATGAAAGCAATTCCGATATTAGACGAACTGAATAAAATTGTTTGGAATGGATATCCATCTATGGATGAGTTATTTGAGGAAGGGACTGATATTATACTTTGTTTGTTAATGCAAACCCTATTTTTTTCTCCTGTGGGGCCTCTTTTACCTAGTACTATTTCTGCTCTGGCTGGTGGAATGCATATGACTCCAGTGAAACCAAAAATTTGAAAGATTTCTTGCTTGGATAGTGCTAAAGAAGATTACTATTTACTTCAGTTTGGGAGTAATGTAAAAGCAACGAATTGACTTTAAATTACGTCAAACTATTATGAACACATTGAAGTAGTTACCTACAAGTTTTATGGGTTTGGAAGCTGATGATTTACCTGGTAAACCTGATATCATGATTACTAAATGGGCTCCTCAACAAGATGTTTTAAGTAATAATAGCTTAATTTTTTAATATAATTGCATGTTAATATTTTATTCCAAGTTCTGTCTAGGACACAAAAATGTTATTTTTGTTCATCACCCAAAGGGAGGTCTTCAGTCTTTAGAAGAATCATTGTTTCTCATGTTCCACTAGTACTAATGCCATTCTTCGGTGATCAGTCATCAAACACTTGGAGAAACCAAAATAAAAGTTGGGACTAGTTGGCAGACAGACATAACCTTAAAATTGAAAGTTTCAAAGAAGAATCCATATTAGGGTTATAAGGAGTCAATATATGGGAGAAAGCTACCATCAAGCGTTTGGCGACAGAAATTCAAGACACACCAATGCCTCCCTTGAAAACGCAATCTAATTGGACTGAATATGTTTTGAGACACAAAGGTGCTCTCAACATTTGAAGACCCCAAAGATTCCATTGTATCAGTATTTACAATAATGGATGTGTTGGCTTTTATTAGAACTGTTGTTTCTACTTATTCTCGGCTTGCTTTTCTTATGTCATTGTCAAAATGTTAATCAAAGTCTGTTCTTTGATATTCTGCCGTAAAGTAACGAAGTTCAAAGAAGAGAAACTCAAAGAAGTAATTTATAAAACGATATTAAAGAATTATCATTAATAATTGTATAGTCATGTATCGTTAATAAAAACAACAACATTATAATATGAATTCATCAGAGTGTATAGTATTATCATTAAAATCAATGACGATGCGAATATTTTTCAATACCATTTAGCTCACGTGTAGGTTGTTGCCTAATTGATCAAAATGGTTTTCTATTATATTTTGTTCTGACCCACCTCCGGAGGTCCTTATGCTGATCGCACTTGGAACTCAGGCTTTGATGTTCAAAAGTAGAAGTAGTTGTTGTTACACGCTTTCAAATAATGTACACGCCAGACAAAAATTACTGACGAAAAGTGAGAATCATCAAGACTTTTGTGGTTTTATTACAAAATAATGCTCAATTCATTCAAATTTAAACCTTATCATATCACTAAAATACTTTAGGTATAAAACAAGAAGGTTTTAATCACATTCTATATCAGTTACGTTATTATTTGACGATAATTAATCCAAGTGCTTTAATTAAAAATGTCGAAGTTAATAATACTGTTGTTATCATTAATACTTGTGTCTTAAAATGTGCACTCGAACGAATTCTTGCAATGGTCGTAGCTCATCATACAGCCATCAAATGTTTTATCAACAATTATGGAGACTTCCTTTATCCGTGGACATGACATAGTCGTGGTCTACAGATCTACCAATGGAAATTTTTCCCAACTTCAAAATCAGCATGAAAGAATCCTATGGGCCCTGAAATTTATAAGTAATGTTAAACACTAGGTATTTTTCAAGTTGTGTGATTCAAGATAAATGGACGGAAATGACAGCAACGATGATAGGTAGATTCCAAAATGAATTTACCACAGGTTCAAAACTTGTCCATGTCAGACATTTTGATCTATTGATGATAGAACATTTCATCCACGCACCTGCATTAGCATTCCAACATCGTTTCAACTGTCCGATGATCGGTGTGGTTTCTTTGGATACTTTGACTTATTCGCATGAAGTAATGGGAAACCCGGTTCATTCTATTTTGTATCCGATAATGCATTCTTTCCCATATCAAAGAGATTTGTCATTTTTTTGAAGATTGAATTGTCTGTTGTATTTGGAAATACGTTTAATTACTTGCAATTGGGAGCTGTGGAGCATTTTGGATAAATTGAACAGAGGTATTTTGGAGAAGACACACCATATTTCGAAATTCTTGAGAGAACAGATATGTTGTTTGTAAATGCTAATCCAGTCTTTAGTCCTGTAAAGACCACACACACGCCTAATTACTATTATTTCCATCGCTGGGTATGCATATATGAAACCACCTAAGGCTTTACCTGAAGATTTGAAGAAGTTTTTGGACAGTGCAACCCAAGGGCTATTTATTTCAGTTTGGGTAGTAATGTAAAGCAATGGGTGTCTTGGTGCATAAACTATAATAGAGACTTTAGAACAAATTCCTACAAAATTCTTTGGAAATTTGAAAATGATACCCTTCAGGTAAACCAGCCGTATCATGATTACAAAATGGGCTCCACAACAAGATATTTTTAAGTAGAATATTAATATTCTTTAATTTTTTGAATTAAACTAGCCAACATTTTTTATTTTTAAAGGAACTTACAAAGAACATCAAACTCTTCATCACTCAAAGGAGGTCTTCAGTCTTTTAGAAGAAGCACTATACTCTCATGTACCACTAGTGATAATGCCGTTTTTCGGAGATCAACAAGCAAATTGCATTTGAGAGCCAAGTCTAAGGTATATGGCACGCATTGTGGACCGAACGCATAACCTTAACATTGGAAGATTTCAAAAAGCCATTTTTGGATGTTTTGGAAGTCCTGCTTATGAAACACTGTCACTGATTGGCAAAAGAAATTCCAAGACCTCCAATGACTCCCTTTGGAGAACGCTATTTGAATTGGACCAGGTATGTATTGCATTTGCAAAGGTGCACAACATTTGAAAGGACCTAGAGATTCCGGCGTATCAATTATTATTATTTGGATGTTTTAGCTTTTTATTGCGGGTGTCTTTTGTGATTATTCTTATTTTATTGTTTGTAATGGATTAAATTGACTCTCAAAAGGACTCTACGGTATGATGAAATGTTCAAGAAAGAAAAATTAAAAGTAAATTGAATTACTTTCCAAGTTTAAGTAGGTACTTACGAATAATGAAATTGCATGGGTGGATGAAATATTGCAGGAAATAAATGAATTTTAATCAAAACTTGCTGAGCATGACAATCATATTCCCCTTTTTACTATGCACTGTAATTGTTACAATTTCACGTGTTCATTTTATCGATTAGAGATATCTTATCATGATTATAAGTATAAAATAAACATTTCCAAATAGATGAAATCGGTTTCACTTATATAATTAAACCTAAATTACTCCAATTTCATTTACACAATGTTTTACACAATTAATATTACTAGTGGTTTTCTTTGATTCTCGTCACCAAAATGTCAATTCGAAACGAATTCTCATATGGTCATGATTCCATCCTACGGTCATCAAATGTTTATCAACCATTATGGAAGAACTAGCCATCCAAAGGTCCATGACGTTTGTCGTGATTTTATGACAACTATTGAGTGCTCCCAGAGCTTTAAAGAAATTGGCATCAAAAGGAATTCTATCCAACTATGAAGAAAGAAAAGTTTTTGGATGGGAAATGATCAACACCACAATGCTACAAAATATATGGGAGAATAAATATGGGCAAGAAGTTGGTATATCATTGACTGAATTTCAATTTAATCTACCCTGATACAAAGAACTAATCCATAACAAATCCAGACATTTTGATCTGCTAATTATTGACATTTTTTTCCATCACGCCAGCTTTCAGTTACAATATCGTTTTAATTGCTCTATGATTGGTGTAGTGTCATTGGATGCCATGTCTGTATCACATGAGATAATGGGAATGCGGATCATTTTATTTTATATCCGTCGGCTATATTATGCCATATCAAGAAGATTTTACGTTCGTTCAAAGAAGATTGGTGCTTTTGATGTTTGGTGTCGTAGTGAATTACATACGGTATGCAAGTTTTGGAATGTATACAGATTTGGCTAGGCAATATTTCGGAAAGGATATACCTCCAATTGGAATGTGTGAAGACAGATATGTTGTTTGTAAATACAAACCCACTATGTTCAGTCAGGTAGAATTATATACGCCTAATTACAATTTCAATCCTTTGGAGGGAATGCACATGAAAGCTGAAAACCACTTCTAAGGTAAAAATTATAAATTTTATGTATGGATACCAATATAATACTTATGGCCACTTTCTGGCCCCAGAACTTAAAAGAAGACTTTTTGGATAATACGAAAGATGGCACCATATACTTCAGTCTTGGTATTGGTAATGTGAGGAAACAATGGAGCTGTCCATGAATTTACGTAAAATTATTATGGAGACTTTAGCTCAGAGTACCATATCTGTTCTATGGAAATTTGAAAACTGATGACCTGCCTGGTAAACCTGATAATGTCATGATTACAAAATGGGCTCACAACAAGATGTTTAAGTAAAACAAATCACATTTTTAGATTCTAGACATTGGTATTTACTAACTTTTTTATTAGGACACAAAAACGTTAGAATTGTTTGGTATTACTCAAGGGAGGGGTCTTCAATCCTCGAAGAGTCATTATATTCTCATGTGTGCCTGTTGTCGGTGTTACCCTTCTTTGTTGATCAGAGCCAACACTGAGATAAAGAGTAAATCGCAAGGCATGGGTGTTGCTTAGTAGACACAACCTCAATGTGGAGGGACTTCAAAGAAGCCATCTTTGAAGTAGTAATGGAAAGGCAAAGCTACAGAAATACAGTCAAACAAGTAGTATACGGGTCAGGACACACCACGAACATAGCTGGAAATGCAGTTTGGTGGATTAGATACGATTCTTAGACACAAAGGGCACAACGCACTTAAAAGAGTCCCAGAGATTCCATTCTATCCAATATTATTATTTAGATATTATTTTTGTCCTGGGTGCTACCGTTTCTACTCTAGTTGGATTACTAATTCTTAGTGTTAATATATTTGCAGAGGTGTTTGTTGTTTGATGAAATGCAACAAAACTAAAACAACTAAAAAGAAAAGTTAAGAAAAACTAAAACTAAAAGTGTTAATGTATTGATGGAAACCGCCTACAATAAACATTTTAATAAACTTGCAGCAGTTGTGTACATGTAGCGAGATATTTTTAGGAAATGTGTTCATGGCTACACTGTCCTAAAATTGTTCAGTTCAGCTTGCATCAGTCGTATCACATGAGTTCTCGAGTGTAATGTGTCGGTTTATTATCAATATAGCGTAAACTTTCAACACGATATTATGACACGTATAATATTGGTGATTTTATTTTATACACTTTTGTCCAATGGGCTTATTCAGCAGAATTCTCCTTTGTTATACCATCACCTTCAGCATAGTCATCAAATATTCTTTTGAGACTCTATGGAGAACTCGCCGATAGGGTCATGACTTGAGTGGTAGTACAGCGGACCCTACCAATGACAGCTATCAAACATAAAAAGAAATTTAGCACTAAAAGGACCACCACATTTCAATGAAACAAATTATCAACACGTGGGTGAATTCATCTGTATTTGATATTCTCCTAAGGAATAAATGGCGTGACCTCTCCCTGGATCTATATTATACTTTCTTCAATATACCAGCTATGCAAGGGCTTCATCAATAACAAAACAGAGCATTTTTGATTTGTGATAATTGGAGCGATACATGTCTCCAATGTTTTGGATTCAAACATCGGTTTTAATTGTTCCATGATTGGTGTATCATCAATGGATTCACTTCCATTATCACATAGTGTTATAGGAAACAACTCATAGTGTGTAATTTGTATCCGGCATCTATGTTTCCATATCTGGAAAAATTTATCGTTTTTGGAACGACTAGCAGTTGTGTGGTTTGAACTTATATTCAACTATCTGATTAATATTATTCTAGGTGATTGATTTGAATCAAATAGGAAGGGGACAACTTTGGTCAAGATATGCCTTCACTTCCAAGATATTTTTGAAGACACTGACATGTTGTTTGTAGATGCTAATCCTGTTTTCAATGCGGTAAGACCACATACACCTAGTACTATTTCAATGCCGGAGGAATGCACATTAGTGTACCAAAGCCATTACCAAGTAATTTTAGTCATTTTTTAAATTTAATTTAATTTAAATTTAACTTGAAATTTTTGACGTGTGATACTTACGTCTTTAAAATCATTTTATTGGGTTACTGTTCAGGAAACTGTGTCACGAGCGGTCGGTCGCAGGTATACCCTCGTTATATAACGAGGAGACGAACCGATCTCCCGTCTCATCTCGAGCCTTTACCATTTCATTTCCGTGCCAGTCCTTGGCGTTTCGAGTGGGTTGACCGATCTTCCGTCTCTCTCACTCCACAAACAGATGGGAGATTTTCTCGTGCAGTTGAGTTTTCGTTGAATGTTTTATCGGCCGATAAAAGTTTGTAGTGGGGAGCCTAACAGTAAAACAAAATGAAGTGTGCAAGTGAAGTGTTACAACAATTCGTAACAAAACAAAACTATATCACCAATAAGACGTTATCACGTAAACATCTCGATCGTAAACCTACTTTACAAACAACCATTTTTTTAGGAGTTGAAACAATTTTTGGATGCTGCCAAAGAAGGCGTTATTTATTTTAGCCTGGGAACAAATGTAATGAGTAACGAATTGTCCAAAAAACTTCAAGAAACAATAATTGCCACATTTTCTCAACTTCCATATAAAATTCTATGGAAATTTGAAAATGATGTATTATCAAACAAACCTGATAACGTCAAGATTACAAAATGGGCACCACAACAAGATGTACTACGTAAATATAACCCAAAATAGTTTTATATAAAATTTTAATATTTTTTAAATGTTTAGGACACAAGAACATAAAACTATTCATCAACCAAGGAGGTCTTCAGTCCTTAGAAGAAGCATTATTCGAAAATGTACCAATGGTAGTAATACTATTCATCGCAGATCAAAAATCTAACGCGGATAAAGTTAAACATAAAGGTCTAGGCCAGGTCTTAGATTGGAAAACTTTATCTGTTGATGAATTTAACACAACCATCCAGGAAGTAATTAAGAACCCAATATATAAAGAAACAATCAAGAAATTAGCCAGTCAAATTCAGGATGTACCTATGAAAGCAGTAGAGAAAGCAGCATGGTGGACAGAGTATGTGTTAAGACACAAACAAACAAAGCATTTAAAAGGACCACGAATTCCCATATATCAATATTATTACCTTGATGTGTTTGTTTTTCTGGGTGTGGTTATATCGCTTTTACTGTTATCAGTGTATTATGTGTTAAAATGTGTCAAACGATGTATCTGTGGCACGAGTGCAGAAAATAAAAATGCAATAAATAATTATTTCGGTTATAAACAATTTATACTTGTGTGTTACGTAAATCTAGGTTGAAGAGATGACCATGCGTCACGCTTCGTAGTTCATGGTCAAATCTATTTACCAAGTCTATTTTAGTCACCAAGGTCTTTGTAGCAACAGCTCGCTTGCTGCCACCAGTCAATATTACGCAGTCGGCGCGTTCGCATCTAGGTTATAGAATGTAGATGTTAAAAATGTGTTATAATAAATATAGGTGAACTAACGCGTATCTAATCTTGAAATGTTCAAAAATCGATAAGTTCTTAAGTCCCACCCACGGAACGCAATCTTTAAAATTACAATCTAATCGTTCTCATCAATAAATATATCAAAATAGATAAAATATTAGTGTGTATGTGGCTTAATTATTCACAATTATACAAAATATATTCCACTCCGCGCGGTACTCTGCATTATAGGAAATCCTTCCCTACAGCTATCAAATGTTCTTCCAACCGTTACCTGGCGCAGGTTGGCTTTATCCGCAGTCTGACAGTCGTGGTCATCACCTCTGGCCAACCAACGAAAACTGATTTCGAAGGAGAGTAGCACCCATGACCACTTACTCATTAAAAGCCTTGGATATGCTGATAAACTGGCACCTTTGTGGATTTGATGTTCAAAACTGATTGGGCGGAAGGGGTTTTGGAGATGATGAATGAAACCAAGTAGGTCTACGCAAGTTCAAGAGGCTGATCCATGACAAGTCGCGGCACGACCTGTTGATAGTCAGACATAGCACTCGCCATTCTTCGCATTTAGAAAAGTATAATTGTCCTGTGATTGGGTGTTATTTGTTTTAGAATTATGGCTAACTCCGCACATAGAATTGCTAGGTAATGCTGTGCATTCTGTGAGCATATCAACACAGCTTCGCAAAACCGATAACTTGTCATTTCTTGAGAGAATCATGGCAATTGGTTAAGGAAATATTTGAACTCATCGTCTATTACAAGCCTTTGATCAAGACCATGGATACAGTGGCTAGGGATTCGTTTTAATCAAGCTACACAGAGATGTGATGGAGTTTTGAAAGTACTGATATGCTGACATTTAATACCAATCAGTTTTCATTTTCCGGTCAGATACCACTTACGTCGCTATTTCGTAGCTGGGTTTACATATGAAACCGCCAATGCTTTTGCCAAAGTATTAAAAAAACACTTAATCTTTAAAGGAAGCTTACAGTGGCTACTTTCTTTCTGGGGTTGAATTGGCTGGATAATTACTTGAAGGTATCATTTACTTCAGTCTAGGCACCAATGTAAAGTAATGGAATTATCTGAGGAACTGAAGGTCTTTATCAAACACTGTCTCAAAGTGCCTTAAAGGTATTATATAAATATGAGTGACTCTACCAGAGCTGTCTAACGTCAAATTTGATCAAAGTAGGCACCCTCAACAGGAACATATTAAGTATTGGTATACTCTAAATTGCTGAGCAGAAATTGTATCCTGAGTATTTGTTTTCAAAAGGACACAAAACATAAAATGTTTTTATAACCAAAGAGCGGAATTCAATCATTGGAGGAAGCCTTCTACTCCCCACGTCAGCCGTTGTAATACCATTCTTCGGCGATCAATTGCAAACGCTGAAAATTAAAACAGAGGGACTGGAAAAGCCCTGAAGATTCTGGACCGTTATAACCTCAATGTGGCGAACTTCAAGACCGCCATCAAGCGGGTTATCACTAATCTAAATCTTACCACCAACTTGCGCAAAGCATTATGCTGGCATAGTGCAGGATGAGCCGATGAAGCCATGGAACTAGGCACAACGGTGGATTTGGAAGGTATGTCCTTAGGCACAAGGCGCTCAGCATCTAGAAGGGATAACTTTATTCCTTTCCTATCAGTATTATTATTGGATGTGGCGGCTCTTGCTTTGGTAATCGTAGTTTTGCTGGGATTCATCCTTTTTTGATGATAAAAGTACGTTATCAAGGTATCAGAAAAGATAATGTGAGTGTAATAACAATGTAGTCAAAACCAAGAGTGATGTTATTAAACTGTATTTACAGTTGTTGTATACTTGATATTTTGTAAATGTAGAGCTAACCCTGGGTTGTTAACCTTAGGCTTGATATGATAAAATCAATATTTATGGTTTTATCCAAGGGTTTTAGGGCCTGATTCAAAGAGAAAACATGTTTTCAGTGGCAGGAAGCTTTTGGTTGTAAATTAAATTCATATGGCTTCTAGTGAATTCCGACTTTCCCAAATTTTGAAATGCTGGCAATTTCAGTTTACTCTAAACAAACGGTATAAGCCAGAGCGGGGTAATTTCAGCGCTGCCTGAAAAGTATCCTCTTCACCCGGCGGCGCACCCGGTGGCCGTTACGGCACCAAGGTACGTCCTCGCTGATTGATTGGTGCAATATATGTAAATCTAATCATATTAATATCTTGGTTTACCTCGTTCACCTACATAGAGAAAAGGCAAGAGTAGAATTATTTATCAAGCGTTATTTAGAACAGCAGGTGCTTCTTAGGATTTATTCCTTTGGAGATAGAGGCACGATTGCGTGTGGAACATAGGGCACATTTACATTAATAGAAGATCTCCCATTGCTTCTTCCGGCGCGTTATTTTGCGCACCATTTTCGCCGCTTTGTGCCCGAATTAATGTAAGTCGGTATTTTGGGGCCTGGAGCGTGCCGCTTGTGTAGCTGCTTGCGAGAGGACTGCGTACAGCCGGGGGTAATAAAGGAATCCGCGAGCGGCGACAGAAATTAGGTAGGCCTCCCGTTATTCCCTTTTCGGAGTTCTATTGGGAGTAAAATCCGCTACGGCACAAACGGCGAACCAGAATTACTATTACCAAAATTAATATGAGTATATTTTTTACTGTTTATATTTGTCAAATTTAATCAAAAATTAAGTAAAAGGATTATGTCAAAAAATTGCGATTTTTTGTACTAGAAGTTGATGAAAAGCGGAACAATAATTTAGAGGTTGGAAAACGCCGCAAACGCTTAACGGAAAATCGGCGGCGGTAAAGAAAGTGTCGTCGACTTACCAATATTGCCGTGTGCCAGCACATTGGCGCATAAATCATTTACGTTATTAAAATTTCACGCGCATTTTTTTACGTCGTACGTGGCAGCTTTCGCCTCCCGAGCAAGCACACAAGGTTCGATACTAACGCAGAGATTGTGTATATGAAGCTGAAAGTATTGAGAAACTGTTGAACGAGGTGATGAAGGAGCAACACAGAAACGTTCGTTAAAAACGTACATCTCTATTGAAGGTGACAGCTTTAAGCGGCAAAAGGATTAAGAAATATATTAAATTGCCAAAATAAAATACGATTTGCATTTGGTGAAAACCAACCACGCGGCATTTATACCGAAGCTGAATTTCCGAATTCAAAATTCGGCATTCGATAGCACGTTCGCCCGTATTAGATAGGAACCACGCTTGAGCACATTCGAGAATAATCCACCACGTTCGTGAACACATTGCGGTGCTCGATCAGAAGGATCTTTGGGGGCTCTTCTAAACTCGGCGAGGGTGCACCGGGGCGCCGCTTAGAGTGCAAGATTTGCACGATACCGAAGCATAAGCGCCATTCGTTTCTTGGTACCTCGTTGGGCACATCCTGCATCTCGTCAAGAAACGGCGAAGTGGAGAGTGCGCGCAGAGCCCGCACGCCATATAGATGTCTGCGATGGGACGTATTCACGGAATTAAACGCTAGCCAGATCTAATAAAATTCACGCACTCTGCTCGGTGCGATTCCACGATCCTCGCTTGAAATAGGGACTCGAAAGGCGCACGCGATGGATATACAAACAGGATTGATGTTGCCAAAGCCAGAATTATCATTTTCATGAAAAGATGCGTGCGTGAGGAAGACTAATCGCAATCAAATTCATCATGTAGTGATAATATTTAGCGCGTACCGAGGTATATCAAGCGCTTGCTTGCCGCACCGAAAAGCAATTTTGGGAAGCCAAACACGCTTTGCAACGGACTGATAAAGCAGACAAAAGAAATCGTTAACAAGATCATCCAGCATTAGCAGATTTAGCACTTGGCAATTGTTTCCCTCTTGTTGTGCTCCTGCGTACTTCCGTTCGATGTAATACAGTGGGCGGCGCTAACGTCGCCGGAGGCAGTGCTGCTTTTCGGGGTCGCCATGGCGTGGCGGGTGTTGCATAGCAGCGAGCCTGGTGGGGGAAAGGTTTCAGGGAAAGGATGCTGAATATAAGATTGCATTGTATCACGGTATTATGCATATCAATATGTAGTCTTTTGGTTCGTTAGCGTCGGTATTCTTCTCTAAAGGGGTAAAAACGAAATCGCGCTTTGGCCACTTTCGATCTTGCTGCCAGCACAGCAACAAGACACGCCAAAAACAAGACCGATTGGCAAGCAAAATAGCCACAAATTATACAATAATACACGAGATATTGGCTACCGGACGGACGTTTGGCGTGGACGGCGATGGACTGGTGGACGGACGGACGGGCAGGGCGATACCATTCGAACAAACGGTAAGGAAGCACAGCGCGCACGCATACAAACACAAATGAGAAAATAAAACTTGCCGAAAGTAAAACGGACGATTCGAAAAAAGTTTCAGTACACATACATGAAATAATGTGCACTAGTTTATATAAATATATGAAATTAGTATGGTAAAGTGAATTAATATTTATTAGATAGTAGTAAATGTCAACACATTTACTTAATTTCTGACAAAACAGGAATCAGACTATACTTGATTTCACCTAGGTAATATTTTCAGAAGAAATCGCCAGCTTATTCGCTTTTGATTTTATTCCTCGTTCTAAGTATTTTGCATTTCAGAAATTTGTTTTGGTGAAGAAAAAAATATTTTATTGAGTGTCATCATCATCGTCATGCTCATTGTCATCGACGGCAAGAAACACTTTATTATTCAAGGATAGCAATGCTCAGCGGCGGTGGCGCGAGTATAACCATATTTACATTTCAATTTCAGACGGAACGCGACGAGTTTTTACATTGGAAAGCGCGGTCGGTAACGTCTTTGCGTGCTTACCACTTCGTGAGGGCGGCTAAGAAGTTTGCCTTAAACCACTGCCGCCTAACTTCATTACACGATTGCTGCGATAACGTACGCAGCCCGCGCACAGCAGCTCGGATGCAAATTTTACAATAAAAAAGGCCAAGCAAAAGAGCTCGGATTCTATTTCAACATGTGAAATGAATAGTATTCATTTACATATTTTGTAGTTAATTTGATATTTTATTTATATTTTTTTAATTTGTTGAACATGATATTTCTCCTCAACATATCAGAGAATAGCTAGGTATGTTGAGCGTGGGGAATAACATGACAGCGGGTAGAAGTAGGTATATAAGGATGTAGGACGTTTTCGAAGTCATCTCATTCGCCCTTTCCATGCTCCGAATGACGTCATTAAGGAGGACCCGGTGGCTCGGCGGCGGCGCCAGTCGACGCCAGTCGGCATTGTATTCCGTCCCGCAGAAACCCACTTACGAGCACGGATCTAGAACAGCATAAAGCGAACTCCACACGCTCTCACACTCACAAAAGCGTAATTCAGAGGCACACATATGCAACTCAAGGAGAATATCCACAACCTTTCCGCTCCCACAGAAGTACTTTATTTTATAGAGATTTATAAAAATTAAAAATAATAGAATTATGAGGAAAATACTAGTCACTAATAGATCACGAAGAAAACAGTATCAATGAAATAACTGCCCTGTCAGATAAAAGCACTACAAGCACAATACAGCGGCATGATTTACTGACATATATAACAAAACTAACAACAATGAACATCAGGGGAAAAAGAGA